AAAAAAATAAGTAAAATAATGGTTACTTTAAACAAGTAATTTTTAGCAAAAAAAAAACCGACTTAAAAAAAATATATATATATCTATATATTTCATGTACCAATGATCGGATCTAAACCAAATTAGTATGGGACCACCTCTGAGACACTACCTTTCCGTTACAAAAAGAATTATTGAAATCGGTTGACGTGGTGCAAAGTTATGCGGTAACATACATAAAAAAAATATATTCCGACGAACTGATAACCTCCTCCTTTTTTGGAAGTCGGTTAAATATTGTTAAATAAACAACAGGGTACTATTAAACCGTGCAACAAAAACCAAAAATTTTTAAAACACACGAATACATTCATGAAACTAGGAGCCAAATATCGTGGTGACAGGTAATAAGATCAACGGAAATAAGGTCAATTGACTCTATTTCCCACCCTAGTGCGTTACCTTTTCAAAAGCGAAATAAAATACATTGACATTATTGCTCTTTCAAACATTAAATTTGCTTAGCTACGCGACGGCCAGCGTCCGCGCGCCACATCGCGTGCCCCGCGTAACCCGCGCCCCCGGCGCGACACACCACGTCACGGTACGCCGCGACAACTTGTCTGCAGTAAAAAAGCATATAATTTGTGTTTCAAAAGTGTGTAAAAACCAATCAATTAACTTACATGATCTATAAATAATCAATAATTGTTTATACCCGCATTTTGGCACATTGGCCTGTTTGAATGTGCCATCTAATAAATAGCGTCGTCGTTCTCCGTAGCTGCTTTTAAATGATGTCGTCACAAATTGCTGGCGGAGACATGAATACAGTGTAAGAATATTCCTTTTCTATAATTGTTTCCTTATAGAAAGATTGGTTTGTTTTCCACCTTAGGCATTCCGAATTCGTTCAAAATATGCTAATTTAAAACACAGAATTCTTTCAGTGTTCCTTCGGGGTTTTTGGACATGGACTGTTTCTTCAATTTAATAGTGTTCGCTTTATTTTTGTGGAAACGAAACATGTTTTGCAAGTTCTGGATCATTTCTACACTATCAGGGCTCTCATGGAATCCAATTGTTGTCGGAATTGAATTTGAAAGCGACAAAAAATCGATTAGATGTCATGAAATCCAATGTTATCGGTTTTAAGTTCGAATCGGAATTAGTGTCAGTTTTAGGTGTCACAGGAACAATTGTTATCGGTTTTGCTATCGGAAACAAACCAAGCAGCTCATAGCTATTGGATTTTCTTTGCATATAATTTTTTTTCACTTGCAGGTAGAAAATTTAATAAAAATGTGAGTAAATGATGGTTTTAAATAAAAATATATATTAATGAGGCTCATATTTTTATTCATACTAGGGGAAAACATAAAAATGCAACGCAGATCAGTATTTTCATCGAGTTTATGCAGAGGTATCCTGATATTGCGAAGGGATTCACGAAAAGGGATAAACCAAGCTTGGATGCTCTTTGGGAAGTGTTGATAGAGTCGCTGAACAGTGCCGGTCCACCACAAAAGGATGCGAATGGATGGAAGAAGGTAAAAGTTTTTAGTACTAAAAATTGGGCCTTAAAATTACAATTTCTTATATATTTTCAGACTTGGACGGAGTGGAAGAGCGACGTTAAAAAAAAGTTAGCGCATAACAACTCCGAGTCTCGAGCAACTGGCGGGGGACCCTTTTCCAAGCAGCAATTGTCACAAGCGGAAGAGGCCATAGTAAGAATTTGTGCAATGACAAAGAGCGTGGTAGGTGTACCTGGCAATGATCCTGGTCCCCCTAATAAAAGTGATGATGAAACGCCATCAACGTCTTCGAAGCGACAAGCGTCTCCAGTTGCCAGCACGCCTAAGAGGCAAAGGACTGAAAGCACTGGGGTACGCTTAAAAAAATTCCTTGATGAGGATAATGAAAGGAAGTTAGAGATAACTGAACGATTGGACAAGCTCGTGAAAGTAGAAAAGGAAAACGCCAGCAGCCTCAGACGTATTTATAGGGCAATTGAAAAAGGCAATGATGCAACTGCAAATGCAGTTTCCGAGCTTAAAAATGAATATGTCCGTATCAATTCAAAAGTCTTGAGGGCATTACAAGAAAAAAATGAAATAAAAAAGCAACAACTTGATCTCGACCTACAGAAATTTGATTTTGAGAAGAATAAAAAGTGAACAAGTGAATTTTTATGGTCAAACCAGAAAAGCATTTTCTGCAAGGAAGTGTAATTAATATAGTACCTGGATATGTACATTAGGATTAGTAAAGAAATGACTGAAATTTTACCTTATTTTCTTATATAGTTTTTTAATGAATTTTTTTTTGTTTTCATGAATATATATCTTTTTAATTTCTTTTATAAGTGTATATAAATATATATATGTATGTGTTGTGACAAATAAATATGAATTATTATACTGAAACACCATATCTTCTTTGTTATAAAGTGTTTGCTATTTCATCCCTGATCCTTCTGCCTTCACTTTGCAGTGTCGTGTTTTGTGGAGATTCTATATTCCCTTCAATATCATTGGATGGTGCTGGTTGATCGTCTTCATTATGCTCTATTTTGTAGTTTCTGCAGATGTTATGCAGCGCAGCGCAGACATTTACAATTTTCACTACTTTTTCTGGACGGTAGTGTAATGTACTTAATAAACAGCGAAATCTCCCTTTAAAAACTCCTATTGTTCGCTCCACAATATTTCGACCCGATGTATGGGCCAAATTAAATTTATATTCCTGGGAATTGTAGTGTGGATCTCTATAGGGTGTCAATAAAAAAGGTTCTATGCCATAACCACAATCTCCCAGTAATTTAGATGTCCGGCCCCCTGACTCATACATCTGAACGAAATAATTCCTGGCTCTGCTAATATTCCATACGAATGAGTCATGGCTAGAGCCGGGATACCGTGCATCGACTGCTCGAATTTTCATGTCACCATCACAAATCTAAACGTAAACACACAAATGAATGTTTATAAGTAAATCAGTTTTCACGTGTACTTACAATCATGGCATTCAAACTGAAATATCCCTTTCGATTATAAAATAAATGTTCATCAGTACTCGGCTTGATGATTTTAATGTGTGTCCCGTCGATACAGCCAATTATCGAGGGAATTTTGCACTTCGTATAAAAATAGCCTCTCGATCTGCGTTTTTCGTTGAAGTCCATTTCTAGTTTTATCCACTCTGGACAAAGCAACTGATTCATAATCGTAAGCACATCACCCAAAATCGTTGACACCGTGCTCCTAGCTACACTAATGCTGGAATCGTTTCCAACTGATCTTTGATAAGATCCTTCAGCTAAAAATCGCAACGTAGCTGCTAGCTGCAGTACTGGTGGAACTTGAGATCGTGTCAAGTGTCCGCCAATAGTGTCAAGCACCATTTGGAAAGCCTCTTTATTTAGCCTATAACACGCTATGAACCTGCAAATATCCTATAAGTATTTACAAGCGCACCTTGCAATAAATCTACTTACGCTGTCTCCGGCAGCTCAAGCGGGTTGCTGCAATCCCTAAAAATTTTCCTTTTGACCTTCTCGCAACTTCCTTCTTCCATCAACATGAACGCTACAACTGCAGATGCCATTTTTTACTCATATACTTTTATTTTTATTCAATTTTTATAATTTATTGAAGAAAACAATTGAATTTCACAAATTTTTGTCAAAAAAGCGAAAATAAAATTTGCGATCCACAACAAAACAGCTGTTCGAACATCGGTTTTGTTTATATTCGAAAAAAGCAAAACCGACACGGTTTCATGACACGTAGTGAAATCAATATCGGTTTGCAATTCCGATAAAATCCAAAACCGACGGGGATTCCATGACAGCCCTGTATTTCTTCAAATATTTCTCGTATTTATTTCAGCTGCGTTTTGCGTTTGGTTTTTCGCATCGTGTTTTTACTAAATTCGTAATTAAATTTTTTTTTATAAAATCAATTGGTAGTAGTTGATGATTGTGTGGATTAATAGCACCACACTGAGGATTTGGCAATAACCTTTTTCAGCTATTAAAAACAACATATTGTACGAACAACATTTTTTTCTATGCATCGACATACTTTAAGCATTGTTGACGCTATTTCCATTTGAATGAGGAAATAGAGTCAATGACTTTATTTCCAAATTTTTGTCGACATTATTTCGCTTTTGAAAATAAGTCAATTGACCTTATTTCCGTTGATCTTTTTACCTGTCACCAAATATACACTCTAAAAAGTGCATGTAAAACTACTACTGAAAAGTGTTTATTTTTCAACCAGAATCTGTTCAAGTATACGCACAAGATGTTCAAGATTTGATTTTGAACATGAGTTGTTTAAAATATACACACGAAATGTTTAAAATTACAAACATTTTGAAAGTAAAAATATATTTTTTACAAATAATAAATATATATAATATATTTTTGGGGGGAAAGGGTTTATACTTCTAAATATACTTATATCTTTAGCAAATACTGAAAATTCGCTCTTTAAAATACATTTATGAAGTTTTATTTACAGTATGAAATAAATAAATAAACTTTTTAAAGTATCATCAATTGCATTTTATTTACATAAAAATTACAAAGAAATCAGACATTTTTAACCGGCTTCAAAAAAGGGGAGGTTATCAATTCTTCGGAGTATTTTTACTTCTTTTATTTATTCCACCGCATAACTTTGTACCGTGTGAACCGATTCCAATAATTATTTTTTTTACCGGAAAGATGGTACCTTAAGGGTCGTCTCGTAATTTCGTCTACATCCGATCATTAAATCATGAAAAAATTAACGGTAAAAGATGCACTCAACTTTCAAAAGTAATACAAAATTTTACAAAAGAATTTTAATACAAATTAATTAATTAATTTCACGAAATTTTTACACTTTTTTATTAATTTTCGTCGATTTCTGGTTTCTCATTTTTTAATAATTCGAATAACGAAAATTTAACTGAACTTGTATTTTTATCATGTAGCTCATTTTGGTGGAACGAATTCGAAGTTAGCAAATTAAATCTTCGAATGCTTATTAAGTACATATCAGTGGTAAACTTTTTTAGGCTGTAAAAAGCAACAGTAAGTGAGTATGCATTGCATATTTTTAGGACAATGTTTTCATTCGCAGTTAAACTTTAAAGAGCTCTCAAGAAAAAAAGAAAATAAAATAATTTTACACATTACATCAAAAAAAGAAAAATTCTTACAAAATGACGCACAAGAAATTTAGCCCCAAAACCCACCCCTTGTGTGCGCTACGTGACAAATTTGATATGTAAAAGTAAACAGACATTGTTTAATTTTGCACACACTAGGAAAGGAGGTTACCTCTCTTTATATGCGTAAATTTAAACGAAAATTTTTTAGAGGAAATTTTAGACATTTGTGAAAATGTGAACAATAAGTGTTTAAAACTCAAAAAACTAATTTGAAATTTGTTCTACACCACACATATGATAAGTAAAAGTAAGCCTTTTTTTATATAATACCTTTTTTTTATAAAAAGAAATGATTTTAAACAAAAAAATTCCCAACCGATTTTCAAAAAAATTGATACCGTTGTAGACGCAATCAAGCCTTCTTTCTTCTGGTATGCGTATTTGTATAATTCGTACATATATAAAAATTTGAGAAAAAACACTTAAAAGGAAAAACTACCTTTTTTTATAAAAAAAAAAAATTATAAAAAAATTACCAACCGATTTTTAAAAATTTAGTATCGTTGTTAAGGCGATTAAACTCCCATTCTTCCGGTATGCATATTTGTGTACTTCGCATATAAAAATTTGAGAAAGACAATTAAAAGCAAAAAAAAACTTTTTTATAAAAAAAATTTTAACAAAAAAATTGCAAACCGGTTTCTAAAAAATGTATATCGTTGTAAAGGATACCAGAAAATTTATACTTTCTTAAACCCGAAAATTGCTATTTATATACACAAAAAAAATTATTAAAAACATTTTTTCTCTCTATATAAACTCCTGCCTCCCTAGGTGAAAAGTTGGCTACGCCCTTGTATACGAAACATAAAGTTTTTAAACCGTGCATCATACGGTCAGTTTGTTCTTTTAGAGCACATACATGGTTCCATAATAGTGATTCCAGTATCTTCATTTATGTATATTTTAACTATCAATCTATATATATAAAAATGGTGTGAAAAATGTATAGTAATTCATTAATTGAGAACGGTTGGGCCGATTTGGCTAACATTTTTTTTTTTTGTTATTCGTAAGTGCCAGGAGAAGGTTTTTACGAAAGAAATTTTTGGAAAACCCTCCGGGAAAGTCGGAAAATTGGAAAAATTGAAAATTGATTTTTTTGTATGGAATTTTGTGTGGAATTCCTTCGGAATGGCATTCGAATGGAAAAATAGAAAATTCCAAGTGGAAAGCTCGGAAAAATCCGGAAGAATGCGAAAAAATTTAATTTTTTTCGACGAAAGCGTGGAAAATTTCGGATAATTGTGAAATTCATTGGAAGCATGAATCAATTGGGAACAATTTTCTCCTATGTTTCATAACTGATTCGAATGGGAGCTGCTTTTTTGGAAAGGTGTTTAGCACAAGGAGTGCACAAAACTTTAATTTTTCCGATAGGTGACGCAGGGGTCGAGCTACGTTAAAAAAAATGCATTTGGTTCGTTGGTTGCCTTGTGCCTAGATTAGTATATAGGATTAATTTTTTCCGTTAAGTGGGCCAGGGACCGACCTATTCGAAAATTCGGTACCCGTATTATAGATATGCGTAGAATAGAATCGAGTCATTGTTTTACAGTTCGAAATGTGTTTGAAGGCGGCGGGTATTGGCTATTTAACAATACTTATTACACAGGCCAACAAAAATGGGAAAAAAGTTGATGCAGCAAATGTTAACGCTATTTTTGCCGAATTTTTGTGTGCTGATTACGAATCCAGATGCAGATTTTAAGAAAAAACGAGGTCAAAGTGTAAAAAAATCACGTTTTTTTTCAATATTTGGGAAGCTCTAGCAAAGAAACAAAGGGTGGTAGAACCTTTCACTTAGGCTTTGATTAAAGCTAAAAATCTCGAACACTATCCTTTCAAGTTTCCGCACCTTTGCTTGATGGTCACTTATAGTCATTTGTTGAACAGGAATAACTGATTTTGGGAAGTTTGAGTTCCTACCGCAATTAAGCAAAAGGTGATAGAACCTTTCACGTAGGGTATAAATTAAAGCTAGAACTACAGACTACCATCCCTGAAAGTACTATTCCTGCACCTTGCCCTAATGGTCACTTATACTCATT